ACCGAGTGCGCCGCGGCAGCTCCAGCCCGGACGCCGACCCGAGCGCCCCGCAGACGGGCGGTGGGCAGCTGCGGACGCCCGGCCAGCAGCCCGCAGCATGGATTCGGATTCCGGCGAGCAGAGCGAGGGCGAGCCCGGGACCGCCTCAGGTACCGAGGGGCTGCGGACGCCCGGCTGGGAGGGCTGGGCCGGGAGGAGGGGAGGCCGGGGCAGGAAATCGCGAGTATTTCTCGGAGCTGCCAGGCGGGAGGCCGATCCCCAGCAGCCCGATCCCTTCCAGGCCGGGACTGGGGACTGCTCCGCGCCGCGAGTTTGCTTCGGGGCTTTCTCCTCCGTTGCACTTGGGCGCGCGGGAGGGAGAGGAGGTGCGTCTGCGGCTGGCTCTCAGCGCTGCCGGGCTCCTGCTGCGGGCTCGGGTCGCCCGGGCCGGGTGGGGGCGGGGAAGGGTTCGGGAGATCCGCGTCCTGTAGTCTGCTGCAGCGAGGGTTGCAACACGTCTGCCTTTTGAAATAACTTTCCGAGCGCCAGCCTCGTCCTCGAACCCGGGGCGCCCGGGATGCTGCGGAACAGGTGACCCTGTTCACGAGGACGTGACAGGGGACTCAGGGAAGGAAAGACCCGCAGGTGGACGACCAGGGGTCAAACCACAGGTCGTGGCTGCGCGTCCCAAGGCTGCTACACGAGCCGGTGCAGGAGCCTTCGCGCATCGCTGCCCGGCCCCGCGGAGGAGGGCCCGGCGGAGGGTCCCGGAACGCAGGCGCGGGGGCGCGCGGGAGACGGGCTTCGCCTTTAAGAGGCGCCGCCGGCTTCTCACAATCGATAGTTATCAAAGCAATGGGTGGATGCTTCCTTAGGGAAAAATGAATGTCCTCCCCCGCCTCTCCCTGATACTGAGCAACAGGAGGAAGCCACCCACAGCCTTGGGTCGACTTACCGCCGGGCTCTGCCCACCTCCACCGGCCCGCTCCGCCCGCCGCCTGCGGGTCCACGCACCGGAGAGCCGCTCGCCCTCCTGCCGGGTGCCCGCGGCTCCCCGCGCCCGCGCGGCCCTGAAGGCTAGCCCTGGCCGGCAGACCTGTGACCTGAGAACTGGGACCCTCCTGGTACGACTCGAGGTCCCAGACTAGTCCCCATTCTTCCCAATGTCAGACCAGAGTCCTGAGGGTGGGGACCAAGTGACAGGAGGCACCATCAGCCCAGGCGTGGGTGTAGGAAAGGCAGGCTCAGGAACCAGGCACGACAGCGCCAGGCGCTGTGCCAAGGGCCTACATATATTATTCCCCTTCATCCTCACAGCTCCTAGGCAGGTGGTTATCTCCATTTCACAGAGGTTCAGAGAGGCTAAGTGGCTTGCCGACGTCTCACAGCCAGGGAGTCGCCGAGGGCGGAGTGACTCCCTTTCCACTGCATCATACCCCTCAGCCTCTCACAGGGCGGCTGTGGTCAACACCTTTGGGTGGGTGGGAAGGGATGAAGCTGTCAGAAAGGAAAAGCGGCATGAGGATTCCTGTGCGTGTGCAAGGGCCCCCTGCTTTGTGTAGGTGTTTGTGGATATAATTAATAAACATGAGCCCTCTGCCTACCTGTATGTTTCTGAGACTATGAAGCACCAAGATTTTGTTTCACAGGTGGCTTGTGGATCTCCTCACATCATTTAAAAAAGTTCAGTGGTGTTTTGTGTGTATCTGAGTATATCTCCAGAGCTCAAAAGGAGGAGGGACATTGACACTGACACTGTTCTCTCTCAAAATCCCAGGATCTAACATGCTTTCCCTGCCCCCACTCTCAGATTTCTGCGGGCTGATGGAGAGGGGGAGGAGGCTTAGAGAAAGAGGGAGGAGGAGGAGAAGGGGGAGGGAGAAGGCTCTCCAGAAGAGTTGGTACTTGGGTGAAAGGGGAGGGAAGGAGTTCTTAAGGGCACTTGTGATTTCTCCCGCCTCCCCTCCCCACCCCCACCTCCTGCCCAGTTGGGAGTATCCCCATAGGTTTTCAAGTCTGTTTGTGTCCGAAGGCCTCTGCACAGCTAATAGCAAAGGTTACCCCTGAGATGAGATGGGTCCCCTGAAGAACAGGGCAGCCAGCTCTCCTGAGCTGTCACCATTTGTTTGCACCTTACTGTCATTTCTTCATTCTTCATGTGCTTGAATCTCACAAGATGAACATTTATTTGAATGTCACAAGCCATTCTGCTAAATGGCATTCAGTCTCACTCATTATTTTCAGTCTTCAAGTATTTTTTGTGACCAAGCTTCAAAACTAGATGCTAATTCATTGCCTTGCTGTGGCTGCGTCCTGTCCAATGGAAACCCTTGTTGCGGCTTCAGATACAGGTTAGATGACAGGTATGTTATCCATAGGGGTTGACCTTTGTCCCTATAAGGAATGTGGCATTCATCTGTGTTCCTGTATCTGTGCAAGCTGGATGGGTTTGTAGCTGAGGACAGCAGAGTAAGTGGGGTCTCTTGGAGTATTCATGTGTGTGGCTGTTGTGTACCTACCCCACAGGGGGTTGAGATGTAAGGGCTGCTTGCCCCCAATGCCCTTCCCTTCCTGAACTTGTGAAAAAGCCCTGCTGTACAACGGACCTGATTAAGGTCAAGAGCCTGGACTCTGAGATCAGAGAGACCTCAGTTTCAATCTCTACTTGATGGACCTATTACTTACCCTCTCCAAACCTCAGTTTCCCCCTCTGTAAAATGGGGATAACAATAGTACAAGGCTGGTGTGAGGATTAAATAAAATAACACATGAAAAGTGTTCCTGGTAATCATTCAGTAAAAGGTAGCTGCTATTTTGATTATCACCTGATTGGATTATTTGTTGTAAGAGTACTGCTAAATAATGTACCCCAGTGCTTTTAAGATGTAAATCACTAGGCATGTGTAAAACAATTAGTATTGTTGTCATTATTATCACATTAATATAATTGCCTAAGGAGATTTGCTTTGAATTTTCTCCTTTTCACTCTCTCATTGTCTCTCTCGTATGTCTCTGTGCGTTTGCATGTGTGTTTGTTTGTTTGTTTATTTTAGGGAGGTTATTTTTAATTTATCTCTTCTCATCCTCATCATCTTTCGCTCAAGGCATGAAGATGAGGACTTTCAAACCTACTGCTTTCACCGCCTTTTCCTCCAGCTCTAGGGAAAGTTGTAAAAAGCAGAGGAGCCCTGACCCAGTCCACCTGCTAACCTGGAGATTTGTCACTTTCATGCCACTTCCAGTGGAAGAAGGGGGGGTAACAACCCCCACCATGTGAACCTTTTCTCTTCAAGGTAGCAGGAGGCACAGGAGGTACTCACCCTTCTCCTTTCCATGTTTTTTTTGTGTGTTTGTGTGTGTGTAAGGAAGATCAGCTCTGAGCTAACATCCATGTCAATCCTCCTCTTTTTGCTGAGGAAGACCGGCTCTGAGCTAACATCTATTGCCAATCCTCCTCCTTTTTTTTTCTCCTCAAAGCCCCAGTGGATAGTTGTACGTCATAGTTGCACATCCTTCTAGTTGCTGTATGTGGGACGCGGCCTCAGCATGGCTGGAGAAGCGCTGCGTTGGTGCGCGCCCGGGATCCGAACCCGGGCCGCCAGTAGCAGAGCGTGCACACTTAACCGCTAAGCCACGGGGCCGGCCCCCTCCTTTCCATTTTTGCCCATTTCAGCCACCTTCCTGGTCACAAATTGGCAGAGGAGTGAGGAAATCTCCCAGGACCACCAACTCTTTACTGTGCTCCTTTCAAGAGACTTTTCCAAAGGTCTCCGAGTGCCTGCTGTGCAGCTCTCATCAAGCAATACCTGCTCCCTGCATAGGAGGGTGAAGAGAGGGCAAGAGATTTGTCTCAGTCTGCATTTTCTGTTTTTCAGGATGCACAAGATGATGCTTCTGTGTCATTCTGCTGCCTGCAGCTCTCCTCTGCCTTTCTGTTGTTTTATGGTTCTTTCTATGATTAGGAAAGAGGCAGGGTTTATGGAACACTGGATTCTTTCCAGAGACCCAACTTGGCAGTCTCTCCTTTGGCAAACCTACCATCCCTCAGAAATCCTAGAGTTTGGTGTATTAACTCGGCAGCGATTGAGAGTCTTTCCCAAGAAGCAACAAGCGGGTAAACATTAGCGGTGTCAGCTTTTTCCCTTTCTGGCTTGTAAGACCGAGATAGTCTACCAGCTAGAGGCAGATAAGCTCCTCCTACCCACAGCTAGATGGTCCAGGGCAGTCAAGCTGCTGGGGCATCCTTGTGGCTGGGTAGGTACAGCAGAAAAGCATTTCCATGTGATGAAGTCGGGATGCGGTAGGGGAACTTCAAGACAATAAAAGAAGTGGGAAAACAGCAGGCCCATAACTTTGCCTTCCTGTCCTTCCCATCCCCTAGGTCCTAAGCTTGGTCTATGTAAACAAAGTAGCCAGGAGTGGGTAGGATTCAACAGGCGGCCAAGAGGAGAAAAGGCATTCTAGAAGTCAGACACTGCGTAAGCAAAGGCACAAATAAACAGAGAGGTGACTGGCGTGGAGGGCATACTAGGAAGTACTGGGAAATAAAACTAGATGAGTGTAGGGAAGGCCAATTATAAGAGGATCTTAACTTGGTCCGGATGCTGCCTAAGGAGCCCCCATTCAGCTGATTGTTGAGCAGAGATGTGACGACTGAGAGCTGGGTTGTCTGGCAGATGTGAAGCGCGGGCATTGCCTGGGCTTGGAGCCTCAGATACCAGAGTGTGGCCACAATATCAGAGCGGGTGGTAGCACTAAGGCAGGCAGAAGAGGAAGGATGCGAATGCCGTTTCAGAGAAACAAACAACAGAAGTTGGTGACAGATTGTACGAAAGCAGTGAAAGGAGAGGGAGAGGGGAGGGGACAGGCGTGTTGAGTTGGGGTGAGGGCAAGGAAATGCAGGAGACGGGCTCCCCAACCCACCAGTGCTTCCCAGCCCCTCTTCCCATCAGGCACTTAGCAGTATTTTGCTTAAAGGCACTTTTCCCCTGTAGACAGTAAATCATGCCAGGGCATTGGTTTCAGGGGATCATGAGGTTCTGGAGTTTATTGATTCTCATTGTTAGGTTCCTCATGGAGGCTGTTCAATAATCTCGTCGACTGACAGATTGATGATTGATGGACTGGCCAGCCGAGGGCAGGGACTGCCTGGGGATAATGTACCACTTGG